ATAACTGTCCGACAGCTAGATCCAGGATACTTAGAGGGTTCACGTCCAATGTCTAATTTAACTGATTCCTGCTTAATATATGATAGAATTACAACTTACGCTGACATAAATGCAAGGACAGAAAAGTAATGTTTTATATCACACGATTTTGGACAAATCTGTCAAGACACCAAACATGATAAAGAGTTTTATTGAATATTGCTATGATCCCCCCCCGTAGCAGTTAACAGCACATCATTCTAATTATAAAATAATTAATTTAAATTGGTGAATGCTACATTTCTCTAAGACTGGCTTGAGTACATGAACAGAATCTCCCGATAATGACACACAAAACTTCTTCAAGACAAATGTCATTCATCAAAACAAAGTGGTGTAATGTAATGACATGAAAAAATTGGCAGATTATTATCAATGACTTATCAATAACTGTAACAAGTTGTCCATTGTAGGGAATCCTCACTGGTACCCTAGTTTATAGAATCCTCACTGGTACCCTAGTTTATAGAATCCTCACTGGTACCCTAGTTTATAGAATCCTCACTGGTACCCTAGTTTATAGAATCCTCACTGGTACCCTAGTTTATAGAATCCTCACTGGTACCCTAGTTTATAGAATCCTCACTGGTACCCTAGTTTATAGAATCCTCACTGGGACCCTAGTTTATAGAATCCTCACTGGTACCCTAGTTTATAGAATCCTCACTGGGACCCTAGTTTATAGAATCCTCACTGGTACCCTAGTTTATAGAATCCTCACTGGTACCCTAGTTTATAGAATCCTCACTGGTACCCTAGTTTATAGAATCCTCACTGGTACCCTAGTTTATAGAATCCTCACTGGTACCCTAGTTTATAGAATCCTCACTGGTACCCTAGTTTATAGAATCCTCACTGGTACCCTAGTTTATAGAATCCTCACTGGTACCCTAGTTTATAGAATCCTCACTGGTACCCTAGTTTATAGAATCCTCACTGGTACCCTAGTTTATAGAATCCTCACTGGTACCCTAGTTTATAGAATCCTCACTGGTACCCTAGTTTATAGAATCCTCACTGGTACCCTAGTTTATAGAATCCTCACTGGTACCTAGTTTATAGAATCCTCACTGGTACCCTAGTTTATAGAATCCTCACTGGTACCCTAGTTTATAGAATCCTCACTGGTACCCTAGTTTATAGAATCCTCACTGGTACCCTAGTTTATAGAATCCTCACTGGTACCCTAGTTTATAGAATCCTCACTGGTACCCTAGTTTATAGAATCCTCACTGGTACCCTAGTTTATAGAATCCTCACTGGTACCCTAGTTTATAGAATCCTCACTGGGACCCTAGTTTATAGAATCCTCACTGGTACCCTAGTTTATAGAATCCTCACTGGGACCCTAGTTTATAGAATCCTCACTGGTACCCTAGTTTATAGAATCCTCACTGGTACCCTAGTTTATAGAATCCTCACTGGTACCCTAGTTTATAGAATCCTCACTGGTACCCTAGTTTATAGAATCCTCACTGGGACCCTAGTTTATAGAATCCTCACTGGTACCCTAGTTTATAGAATCCTCACTGGTACCCTAGTTTATAGAATCCTCACTGGTACCCTAGTTTATAGAATCCTCACTGGTACCCTAGTTTATAGAATCCTCACTGGTACCCTAGTTTATAGAATCCTCACTGGTTGCCTAGTTTATAGAATCCTCACTGGTTGCCTAGTTTATAGAATCCTCACTGGTTCCCTAGTTTATAGAATCCTCACTGGTTCCATAGTTTATAGAAAGCCCCATTTAGCGGTTGGGAACCAGTGCTTTGATGCAACCATGGGACTTCTCTTGTCTGCACATGAGTTTGTTCTAATGATCCTTCCATGCAGGGAGGAGGAGGGGGAGGAGGAGGAGGAGGGGGAGGAGGAGGAGGAGGAGGAGGAGGAGGAGGAGGGGGAGGAGGAGGAGAGGAGGAGGAGGAGGGGGAGGAGGAGGAGGAGGAGGAGGGGGAGGAGGAGGAAGAGGAGGAGGAGGGGGAGGAGGAGGAAGAGGAGGAGGAGGGGGAGGAGGAGGAGGCGGCGGCGGTCTGCCCCAATTATAACTGCTCAGGGTCTCTGTTCAACAGGCCTGCCTGTGACTCAGACCCACACTAGAAACCACAGAGATACAGATTGGCAGGCAGACAGACAGAAAGAAAGTCTCACATGGGCCATTTCTACTGTTGTTGTGGTTGGGGGTTGGGTCCCTCACTCTGGTGACCATAAAATATTCTACTGCAGACAGCTGTATTTCTCAGTTGTTTTGTTTTGTATTGTGTATTACAAAAGTAGCCCCTCGTCACAGCTTTGCTTCTGGGTGCCAAGATCATAAGACAAGTAAGTAATGTATTACTATGTATTACTAGGTATGACCAATGGCGGCAGGTAGCTTAGTGGTTAAGAGCGTTGTGCCAGTAACCGAAAGGTCGCTGGTTCTAATCCCTGAGCCGACTAGGTGAAAAATCTGTCGATGTGCCCTTGAGCAAGGCACTTAACCCTAATTGCTCCTGTAAGTCGCTCTGGATAAGAGCGTCTGCTAAATGACTAAAATGTATTGTTTAACTGAGGACTGGTGTAAGATTATGGTTTTAGGCACACCAGTTAGGCCTAAGTTCTGAGGCTCATTCAAACAATACCGGTGTGTTGTGGAGAGGTTTGGGTCGTATTGCGTGGAGAGAGTTGAGGTCCGTGTGGTTTAAATGGAAGGGTTTGGAATCCTTGGAATGTGTTCTTTCCCGTAAGACACAAAACGACTCACCGTTGAGTGAAACCATTATTCTGTCAGCCCTGACGTTCAGTTTCACCTGAGGGGATGGGCTGTGGAACACACATACACTTCACTGTGCTTCAAGTGTCCACGGTCGTGGCCACGCTGTGTGCAATCGATGAAGTTGCAATGCACAGTACTGAATACTGAATGGCGGAGTATGACTGGATAACCAATCTGAAGAGCAGTAATGTAAATCAAATGGGATTTCCTCCACCACAGACCTCTCCTCTCATAGGGTGCGTACTATACAGTACGCTACCATTTGACCAGAGCCATATGGCTCTGTAGTGAACTATATAGGGAACAGGGCGCCATTTAGGACCCAGCTGTCAAACCATCCCGGGGACTCCTGCTAGTCCCACCACCGCCTGAAAACCCCCAGGGACCATCATCATAATAACACGACTGGTTTTCCAGATGGACATCTGGGAAGTACTACAGGACGGTTAACCATTTCACAGTGTTAAAGACGGCTGCTTCCAAGAAGAGCTGACAGAATAGGTCTAGTGGGGAGGCTTTACTCCTGACTGGGGTGGGGAACTGCCCCCCCTCCCTACCTTCAGGCTATACTCAAACCCTACACCCTGACCCAAGCACTCCGTCCTGCCACCTCTGGTCTCTTGGCCCTCCCACCCCTACGGGAGGCCAGCTCCCCCTCAGCCCAGTCCAAGCTCTTCTCTCTGTCCTGGCATCCCAATGGTGGAACCAGCTTCCCCCTGAAGCTAGGACAGCAGAGTCCCTGCTCATCTTCCGAAAACACCTGAAACCCTACCTCTTCAAAGAGTATCTTAAATAATCCCCCTCCTCACCTCGACCCCCCCCCCCCCCCCAAAATTAAATATAAATAATTCCTGACCCAACACTTTTACTTGACCCTTTCTAGCTCTGACTTTGCTGGTAACTACTTTGAGGAAAAGTGTACTTACTATGACTGTGAAATGTGGTTGTCCCACCTAGCTGTCTTCAGATGAGTCTCTCTGGATAAGAGCGTCTGCTAAAATGACTCAAATGTAAATGTATTAAAGCCCTTCAGTTAGTTTTACCAGGTTGGTTTACCAGGAGGTTGGTGGAGGTGGAAGGGCAGGTCTACTCCCCCCTCCACATCCCCCAGGTGATGGCCAGCGCTGGCTGTACAGAGAGATAAAAGGCTGGGTGCCCAGATGGGTTAGGCTAGAGGGTCAGGCTGGTCCACTCCCTAGGTGTCTGGCTGAGTTAGGCTGGGCCAGGACCAAACCTGTAGTGAGTTATCATAACGGTCTGTGCAGTACACTGTGGTGAGGAGCGGCGAGTCTGAGCGGTATGTGAGACGTGGCAGAGCTGTGGAGGCCTGGCCAACCGGTAGATCTGTTCCATATGTTTCCTGAGCGCCACTCGCTGCAGAGCAGACAGAGACTGAGTCCCAAATTGCACCCTATTCCCTATGTAGTGCACTACTTCTGACCAGAGCCCTATGAGACCTGGATAGGGCTCTGGTCAAAAGTAGCGCACCACATCTGGAATAGGGTGCCATTTGGGACTCAGACAGACTGCTTTGCCTCCTTTCCTTGGCTTCACACAGCCTGTCCAAGCCCCTGTGATTAACACCAGAAAACAGACGGATTGTTGCAACTTGTATTTTTTGAGAGGGGAAAAAAAGAACAGCTGAACTAAACATGCTGAAATTGTGGTTAGGATGATCTTGATGAACTCCCCTCCTTTCATTAAAATGCAGATATCTATTTCAGGCATTCAGTCATCTAACCTAAATAGTGCAATGTATAGGGTTGTTGGGTCCTTTGTTGAGGACTATGTTACAGCTGAGCAGGTTGTTGGGTCCTTTGTTGAGGACTATGTTACAGCTGAGCAGGTTGTTGGGTCCTTTGTTGAGGACTATGTTACAGCTGAGCAGGTTGTTGGGTCCTTTGTTGAGGACTATGTTACAGCTGAGCAGGTTGTTGGGTCCTTTGTTGAGGACTATGTTACAGCTGAGCAGGTTGTTGGGTCCTTTGTTGAGGACTATGTTACAGCTGAGCAGGTTGTTGGGTCCTTTGTTGAGGACTATGTTACAGCTGATCAGGTTGTTGGGTCCTTTGTTGAGGACTATGTTACAGCTGAGCAGGTTGTTGGGTCCTTTGTTGAGGACTATATTACAGCTGAGCAGGTTGTTGGGTCCTTTGTTGGAGGACTATGTTACAGCTGAGCAGGTTGTTGGGTCCTTTGTTGGAGGACTATGTTACAGCTGAGCAGGTTGTTGGGTCCTTTGTCGAGGACTATGTTACAGCTGAGCAGGTTGTTGGGTCCTTTGTTGGAGGACTATGTTACAGCTGAGCAGGTTGTTGGGTCCTTTGTTGAGGACTATGTTACAGCTGAGCAGGTTGTTGGGTCCTTTGTTGGATGACTATGTTACAGCTGAGCAGGTTGTTGGGTCCTTTGTTGAGGACTATGTTACAGCTGAGCAGGTTGTTGGGTCCTTTGTTGGACGACTATGTTACAGCTGAGCAGGTTGTTGGGTCCTTTGTTGAGGACTACGTTACAGCTGAGCAGGTTGTTGGGTCCTTTGTTGAGGACTATGTTACAGCTGAGCAGGTTGTTGGGTCCTTTGTTGAGGACTATGTTACAGCTGAGCAGGTTGTTGGGTCCTTTGTTTAGGACTATGTTACAGCTGAGCAGGTTGTTGGGTCCTTTGTTGAGGACTATGTTACAGCTGAGCAGGTTGTTGGGTCATTTGTTGGAGGACTATGTTACAGCTGAGCAGGTTCTTGGGTCCTTTGTTGAGGACTATGTTACAGCTGAGCAGGTTGTGTTGGGTCCTTTGTCGAGGACTATGTTACAGCTGAGCAGGTTGTTGGGTCCTTTGTTGAGGACTATGTTACAGCTGAGCAGGTCGTTGGGTCCTTTGTTGGAGGACTATGTTACAGCTGAGCAGGTTGTTGGGTCCTTTGTTGAGGACTATGTTACAGCTGAGCAGGTTGTTGGGTCCTTTGTTGAGGACTATGTTACAGCTGAGCAGGTTGTTGGGTCCTTTGTTGGAGGACTATGTTACAGCTGAGCAGGTTGTTGGGTCCTTTGTCGAGGACTATGTTACAGCTGAGCAGGTTGTTGGGTCCTTTGTCGAGGACTATGTTACAGCTGAGCAGGTTGTTGGGTCCTTTGTTGAGGACTATGTTACAGCTGAGCAGGTTGTTGGGTCCTTTGTCGAGGACTATGTTACAGCTGAGCAGGTTGTTGGGTCCTTTGTTCAGGACTATGTTACAGCTGAGCAGGTTGTTGGGTCCTTTGTTCAGGACTATGTTACAGCTGAGCAGGTTGTTGGGTCCTTTGTTCAGGACTATGTTACAGCTGAGCAGGTTGTTGGGTCCTTTGTTCAGGACTATGTTACAGCTGAGCAGGTTGTTGGGTCCTTTGTTGAGGACTATGTTACAGCTGAGCAGGTTGTTGGGTCCTTTGTTGAGGACTATGTTACAGCTGAGCAGGTTGTTGGGTCCTTTGTTGAGGACTATGTTACAGCTGATCAGGTTGTTGGGTCCTTTGTTGAGGACTATGTTACAGCTGAGCAGGTTGTTGGGTCCTTTGTTGAGGACTATGTTACAGCTGAGCAGGTTGTTGGGTCCTTTGTTGGAGGACTATGTTACAGCTGAGCAGGTTGTTGGGTCCTTTGTTGGAGGACTATGTTACAGCTGAGCAGGTTGTTGGGTCCTTTGTCGAGGACTATGTTACAGCTGAGCAGGTTGTTGGGTCCTTTGTTGGAGGACTATGTTACAGCTGAGCAGGTTGTTGGGTCCTTTGTTGAGGACTATGTTACAGCTGAGCAGGTTGTTGGGTCCTTTGTTGGAGGACTATGTTACAGCTGAGCAGGTTGTTGGGTCCTTTGTTGAGGACTATGTTACAGCTGAGCAGGTTGTTGGGTCCTTTGTTGGAGGACTATGTTACAGCTGAGCAGGTTGTTGGGTCCTTTGTTGAGGACTATGTTACAGCTGAGCAGGTTGTTGGGTCCTTTGTTGAGGACTATGTTACAGCTGAGCAGGTTGTTGGGTCCTTTGTTGAGGACTATGTTACAGCTGAGCAGGTTGTTGGGTCATTTGTTGGAGGACTATGTTACAGCTGAGCAGGTTCTTGGGTCCTTTGTTGGAGGACTATGTTATAGCTGAGCAGGTTGTGTTGGGTCCTTTGTCGAGGACTATGTTACAGCTGAGCAGGTTGTTGGGTCCTTTGTTGAGGACTATGTTACAGCTGAGCAGGTCGTTGGGTCCTTTGTTGGAGGACTATGTTACAGCTGAGCAGGTTGTTGGGTCCTTTGTTGAGGACTATGTTACAGCTGAGCAGGTTGTTGGGTCCTTTGTTGAGGACTATGTTACAGCTGAGCAGGTTGTTGGGTCCTTTGTTGAGGACTATGTTACAGCTGATCAGGTTGTAGGGTCCTTTGTTGGAGGACTATGTTACAGCTGAGCAGGTTGTTGGGTCCTTTGTCGAGGACTATGTTACAGCTGAGCAGGTTGTTGGGTCCTTTGTTGAGGACTATGTTACAGCTGAGCAGGGTGTTGGGTCCTTTGTTGGAGGACTATGTTACAGCTGAGCAGGTTGTTGGGTCCTTTGTCGAGGACTATGTTACAGCTGAGCAGGTTGTTGGGTCCTTTGTTGAGGACTATGTTACAGCTGAGCAGGTTGTTGGGTCCTTTGTTGAGGACTATGTTACAGCTGAGCAGGTTGTTGGGTCCTTTGTTGGAGGACTATGTTACAGCTGAGCAGGTTGTTGGGTCCTTTGTTGGAGGACTATGTTATAGCTGAGCAGGTTGTTGGGTCCTTTGTTGGAGGACTATGTTACAGCTGAGCAGGTTGTTGGGTCCTTTGTTGGAGGACTATGTTACAGCTGAGCAGGTTGTTGGGTCCTTTGTTGGAGGACTATGTTACAGCTGAGCAGGTTGTTGGGTCCTTTGTTGGAGGACTATGTTACAGCTGAGCAGGTTGTTGGGTCCTTTGTTGGAGGACTATGTTACAGCTGAGCAGGTTGTTGGGTCCTTTGTTGGAGGACTATGTTACAGCTGAGCAGGTTGTTGGGTCCTTTGTTGAGGACTATGTTACAGCTGAGCAGGTTGTTGGGTCCTTTGTTGAGGACTATGTTACAGCTGAGCAGGTTGTTGGGTCCTTTGTTGGAGGACTATGTTACAGCTGAGCAGGTTGTTGGGTCCTTTGTTGGAGGACTATGTTACAGCTGAGCAGGTTGTTGGGTCCTTTGTTGGAGGACTATGTTACAGCTGAGCAGGTTGTTGGGTCCTTTGTTGGAGGACTATGTTACAGCTGAGCAGGTTGTTGGGTCCTTTGTTGGAGGACTATGTTACAGCTGAGCAGGTTGTTGGGTCCTTTGTTGGAGGACTATGTTACAGCTGAGCAGGTTGTTGGGTCCTTTGTTGAGGACTATGTTACAGCTGAGCAGGTTGTTGGGTCCTTTGTTGAGGACTATGTTACAGCTGAGCAGGTTGTTGGGTCCTTTGTTGAGGACTATGTTACAGCTGAGCAGGTTGTTGGGTCCTTTGTTGGAGGACTATGTTACAGCTGAGCAGGTTGTTGGGTCCTTTGTTGGAGGACTATGTTACAGCTGAGCAGGTTGTTGGGTCCTTTGTTGAGGACTATGTTACAGCTGAGCAGGTTGTTGGGTCCTTTGTTGAGGACTATGTTACAGCTGAGCAGGTTGTTGGGTCCTTTGTTGGAGGACTATGTTACAGCTGAGCAGGTTGTTGGGTCCTTTGTTGGAGGACTATGTTACAGCTGAGCAGGTTGTTGGGTCCTTTGTTGAGGACTATGTTACAGCTGAGCAGGTTGTTGGGTCCTTTGTTGAGGACTATGTTACAGCTGAGCAGGTTGTTGGGTCATTTGTTGGAGGACTATGTTACAGCTGAGCAGGTTCTTGGGTCCTTTGTTGGAGGACTATGTTATAGCTGAGCAGGTTGTGTTGGGTCCTTTGTCGAGGACTATGTTACAGCTGAGCAGGTTGTTGGGTCCTTTGTTGAGGACTATGTTACAGCTGAGCAGGTCGTTGGGTCCTTTGTTGGAGGACTATGTTACAGCTGAGCAGGTTGTTGGGTCCTTTGTTGAGGACTATGTTACAGCTGAGCAGGTTGTTGGGTCCTTTGTTGAGGACTATGTTACAGCTGAGCAGGTTGTTGGGTCCTTTGTTGAGGACTATGTTACAGCTGATCAGGTTGTAGGGTCCTTTGTTGGAGGACTATGTTACAGCTGAGCAGGTTGTTGGGTCCTTTGTCGAGGACTATGTTACAGCTGAGCAGGTTGTTGGGTCCTTTGTTGAGGACTATGTTACAGCTGAGCAGGGTGTTGGGTCCTTTGTTGGAGGACTATGTTACAGCTGAGCAGGTTGTTGGGTCCTTTGTCGAGGACTATGTTACAGCTGAGCAGGTTGTTGGGTCCTTTGTTGAGGACTATGTTACAGCTGAGCAGGTTGTTGGGTCCTTTGTTGAGGACTATGTTACAGCTGAGCAGGTTGTTGGGTCCTTTGTTGGAGGACTATGTTACAGCTGAGCAGGTTGTTGGGTCCTTTGTTGGAGGACTATGTTATAGCTGAGCAGGTTGTTGGGTCCTTTGTTGGAGGACTATGTTACAGCTGAGCAGGTTGTTGGGTCCTTTGTTGGAGGACTATGTTACAGCTGAGCAGGTTGTTGGGTCCTTTGTTGGAGGACTATGTTACAGCTGAGCAGGTTGTTGGGTCCTTTGTTGGAGGACTATGTTACAGCTGAGCAGGTTGTTGGGTCCTTTGTTGGAGGACTATGTTACAGCTGAGCAGGTTGTTGGGTCCTTTGTTGGAGGACTATGTTACAGCTGAGCAGGTTGTTGGGTCCTTTGTTGAGGACTATGTTACAGCTGAGCAGGTTGTTGGGTCCTTTGTTGAGGACTATGTTACAGCTGAGCAGGTTGTTGGGTCCTTTGTTGAGGACTATGTTACAGCTGAGCAGGTTGTTGGGTCCTTTGTTGGAGGACTATGTTACAGCTGAGCAGGTTGTTGGGTCCTTTGTTGGAGGACTATGTTACAGCTGAGCAGGTTGTTGGGTCCTTTGTTGGAGGACTATGTTACAGCTGAGCAGGTTGTTGGGTCCTTTGTTGGAGGACTATGTTACAGCTGAGCAGGTTGTTGGGTCCTTTGTTGGAGGACTATGTTACAGCTGAGCAGGTTGTTGGGTCCTTTGTTGGAGGACTATGTTACAGCTGAGCAGGTTGTTGGGTCCTTTGTTGAGGACTATGTTACAGCTGAGCAGGTTGTTGGGTCCTTTGTTGAGGACTATGTTACAGCTGAGCAGGTTGTTGGGTCCTTTGTTGAGGACTATGTTACAGCTGAGCAGGTTGTTGGGTCCTTTGTTGGAGGACTATGTTACAGCTGAGCAGGTTGTTGGGTCCTTTGTTGAGGACTATGTTACAGCTGAGCAGGTTGTTGGGTCCTTTGTTGAGGACTATGTTACAGCTGAGCAGGTTGTTGGGTCCTTTGTTGGAGGACTATGTTACAGCTGAGCAGGTTGTTGGGTCCTTTGTTGGAGGACTATGTTACAGCTGAGCAGGTTGTTGGGTCCTTTGTTGGAGGACTATGTTACAGCTGAGCAGGTTGTTGGGAAACGACCATCCATCCCAAAAGGGAGGAGGGCATACTAGAAGTGTATGTGTGTGATCAGGGCCATATTCTAGACATGCCGCCCACGTGTTGCCCCACACCGGTTGAGTATGACTAAGGGTTTACTAGACAGACCTGAAGAGTGGTGGTGGGTGCGGCCAAAACAAACCTAGAGGACTAAAAAAAACAGAACTTTAAAATGTCTCACTGACTAAATAGACCCAGTGTGTCTGTGATGCATTGAGACATCAATCATGATGGATACAGTCGTTTTGAATCATTGATGTCAGTCAGGTCTGGCAAAAGAAACAACTAGGTAATGAAAAACTGTCACAGTTTGAGCAGATCAAACCTGCTGTCTGCGTTTATCCAATAAATACAGCATTCAACTCTTACCCTGGGAGGTCCAGACTAACTGCTGCTTTTCTGTTTTACCTGATCACCTACCTGGTGCCCCAGGACTAAAGTACTTCCTGGTTACAGGGGAAGAGTGAAAACAAGAAGTGGAATTGGCTTCGAATTTGAATTTGAGGGACAGACAGCATCGTTATATTCTGTTTACTGGTTCTCTGACTGACAGACAGCATCGCCATATTCTGTTACTGGTTCTCTGACTGACAGACAGCATCGCCATATTCTGTTACTGGTTCTCTGACTGACAGACAGCAGCGCCATTTCTGTTTACTGGGTTCTCTGACTGACAGACAGCATCGCGCATATCTGTTTTACTGGTTCTCTGACTGACCGACAGCATCGCCATATTCTGATTCTGTATCCCTCCTGACGGACAGACAGCATCGTATCTATTCTGTTACTGTACCTCTGACTGACAGACAGCATCGCCATATTCTGTTACTGTACCTCTGACTGACAGACAGCATCGCCATATTCTGTTACTGGTTCTCTGACTGACAGACAGCATCGCCATATTCTGTTACTGTACCTCTGACTGACAGACAGATCATTCTGTTATTTCCCTGGTTTACTGGTTCTCTGACTGACAGACAGCAGCCATATTCTGTTACTGGTTCTCTGACTGACAGACAGCATCGCCATATTCTTTTTACTGGTTCTCTGACTGACAGACAGCATCGCCATATTCTGTTTACTGGTTCTCTGACTGACAGACAGCATCATATTCTGTTACTGTACCTCTGACTGCTTTTGAATAATATTTGTAGACCTGGTTCAGTGGCGTCCTCTACTGGTGATGTGAGAGAAGAGCTGAGTTTCAGTTTCCTGTCTTTCTACTGTTGCTATCAGACATACAATAAATACTGTAGACATTGACAATAACATCATTTTGAATAAAACAGTGCTCCCTATTGAAGTTCTGAGTCACCTGTTTGACTCGTGGCGGGCACCACTGTTTATGACGTCAGGTACAAACCATGAATATGCAGGTTTGTTACATATGAAAAACAAATATATTTTTCTTAAAGGTGAAATAAAAGTTGAATATTTCCTTTTCTGTAATTTATATGTCAAGTTTATTTAATTAGAACAGTTACATACATGTATGCTACAATAGAGAATCATGTTCAACGTTGACTAGTTTCTGTAATTATATATTTTTAGCACCATGTAGACATGTAACGTTGACTAGTTTCTGTAATTATATATTTTTAGCACCATGAAAACTAGTCTTATTTAGGCTATATCTAGCAGATTATAAAAGTGAGGCCATGCTGTGTGTTAAGAAATATACAACGAGAACAAATCCCAAATCCCACAGTTGATTCTAATTCTACCATAAACAGAGAAGAAACAAAGATATTCACTAAAACACCGAAGTACAAAACAGGGGAGGATGTGTTGTTGACTCATTAAGGAGGATTGAAGAGTTTGGTCTTTACAAAAAAATCCCGTGTGTTGAGGAGGTGGGTATTACTGAAGTCTACCAGAAGGAGGCGCTATAGGATTGCTTTTGATCGTGACAGACACCTACAGTGACCCTACCACCCTAGGCACTTGTAGATCTGAAACTGTATAGGATAGATGTCACCATATGGTTACAACTTCACCTTGCCATCTGATAGGCTAGAGGGGAGTATTTGCCATTTGAATTCCACCTATCCAGCGGTGTCAGAACTACACCAGTTCCTAGAAACGGACCAGTCAACATCCCCGATAGTGGGAAAACAACTCATGTGGTGCTACAGTTTATATACCATGAAGACATCTATGCTGTGGTGAGATATCAGATCACACTCTGGCAGGAGGGAGACAGACACCTCTGTCTGTGTGTGTGTGTCTGTGTGTGTGTGTGTGTGTGTGTGTGTGTGTGTGTATACGTGCGTGTTACTTCCTCCTCCGGTTGCTGCCCAGCTGAACGCCCCTGTGTGTGTGTATTAGTGTGTGTGTGTGTATATTAGTGTGTGTGTGTGTGTATATTAGTGTGTGTGTGTGTGTGTGTATATTAGTGTGTGTGTGTGTGTGTATTAGTGTGTGTGTGTGTGTATATTAGTGTGTGTGTGTGTGTGTGTATATGGTGGTGTTACTTTTCTCCTGTGTTGCCGTGAACCCCTGTGTGGTGTGTGTATTGTGTGTGTGTATTAGTGTGTGTGTGTGTGTGTTAGTATGTTGTGTGGTTATATTAGTGTTGTGTATTAGTTGTGTGTGTATATGCGTGCGTGTTACTTCCTCCTCCTGTTGTTGCCCAGCTGAACCCCACTGTGTGTGTGTGTGTATTAGTGTGTGTGTGTGTGTGTGTATATTAGTGTGTGTGTGTGTGTGTGTGTATTAGTGTGTGTGTGTGTATTAGTATTAGTGTGTGTGTGTGTGTGTATATGCGTGCGTGTTACTTCCTCCTCCGGTTGTTGCCCAGCTGAACCCCACTGCGTCCAGACACACAGCGGAAAGTGGCAGGCTGGACGTCCCAGTACTTGACTGGGTTAGAAAACAGACTGATGCCCGTATACAGGGTCTTCTTAACACTGGAGCGTACAGGGCAGAAGTCATTCACGCCCACGTTGCTGATAGTGTTAGCATGGAGGTACACCACCTGGGGGGGAAATAGGGACCAATTAATCAAGCAATCAATTAGTCAATTACACCACCTGGTGGAATTGGGACAAGTCTCGGTTCATGTAGCATGCTGAGGTAATCTGAGGTAAACAGAGGTTCGGTTATGTCCCATTGCTACTCGGATACTCTGTCTGGCTATGTGTGGCTATTTGTGAATGTCTTAAAGATTCACACATAGCTAGTATCATAGAGGCAATCATGCTTGAAGATATTTAGGAATCTGTAGCCTACGTCGTCGTAGCACAGGGGTGTCAAACTCATTCATGGAGGGCCTAGTGTCTGAGGGCTTTTAGTCTTTTCCTTTCAGTTAAGACCTGGACAACCAGGTGAGGGGAGTTCCTTACTAAGACCTAGACAACCAGGTGAGGGGAGTTCCTTACTAAGACCTAGACAACCAGGTGAGGGGAGTTCCTTACTAAGACCTGGACAACCAGGTGAGGGGAGTTCCTTACTAAGACCTAGACAACCAGGTGAGGGGAGTTCCTTACTAAGACCTGGACAACCAGGTGAGGGGAGTTCCTTACTAAGACCTAGACAACCAGGTGAGGGGAGTTCCTTACTAAGACCTAGACAACCAGGTGAGGGGAGTTCTTTACTAATTAGTGACCTTAATCAACCACATACAAGGGACACTCGGCCCTCCGTGGAATGAGTTTGACACGTGTCGAAGCAGAATGGAATGACAGTGGAAATTCTGCATGGTGCAACACTACAATGATGAGTTGAGTGCACTAATAGTAGGAGTAAAGACTGTTTCAAGTTATTTTTGGAATGACAAACAGGCGATTAACCATATCTTACCTGTAGATACCTGAGTGAGTTCAGACCAGGCGGAACCTTCTTTAGCTTGTTGTTGTCAAGGTGGATCTCACGGACGTTGGGTATACTGGCCAGGCTTCCATTCTCAACAAACTTGATTTGGTTGAAGCCCAGTCCTAATCTGTAAATATATAGTAAGCTTTCAGATATACGGAATCAAACCGACAGGTGTATTTTGTGTTTTTATCTCAGTAGTGTTTTACCGTTGTAATTTTTTATATCTGAAAAAGTCCTCAATTTCTACTTTGGTGATCTTGTTGTAATCCAAGTGAAGGTCTGTGAGTGACGATGGGAGGTCTGAAAAACAGGAAATCACTGTCAGGTTACGATGCACAGTACACTTAAAGGGACCGTGCAGTCAAAAACAAGATTTTCCTATTTATTTATGATTTTTTTTCCCACACTGAGGTCGAATTATAATTTTTTTTAAATGAAAAAATATATAAAAATGGGCTTTTTGGAGAAAAAAAACTCCTGTAATTTCAGCCTGTTCAGGTGGATGGAGTTTTTGGCCCAGAGCATGACATCACAATCTGATTGGATTATTTTGACCAATGACCAATCAGCTTTGCACACTCTTGGCATTCTCTCAACCAGCTTCACCTGGAATGCTTTTCCAACAGTCTTGAAGGTGTTCCCACATATGCTGAGCACTTGTTGGCTACTTTTCCTTCACCTTTTGCTGTTCGACTCATCCCAAACCATCTCAATTGGGTTGAGGTCAGGGGATTGTGGAGGCCAGGTCATCTGATGCAGCACTCCATCACTCTCCTTCGTGGTCAAATGGCCCTTACACAGCCTGGATCTCCAATTTGGACTCCAGATCAAAGGACACATTTCCACCCTGCAGCAGAGAGGTAACTCTGGGTCTTCCATTCCTGTGGTGGTCCTCATGAGAGCCAGTTTCATCATAGCACTTGATGGTTTGAGAGAATGCCAAGAGTGTGCAAAGCTGTCATCAAGGCAAAGGGTGGCTATTTGAAGAATCTCTAATATAAAAATATATTTTGATTTGTTTAACACTTTTTTTTGGTTACTACATGATTCCATATGTGTTATTTCATAGTTTTGATGTCTTCACTATTATTCTACAATGTAGAAAATAGTAAAAATAAAGAGAAACCCTGGAATGAGTAGGTGTGTCCAAACTTGTGACTGGTACCTTTAGGTACAGCTGTGAGCTTGGCTTGTAGTGGTAGTTTACCTTTAGGTACAGCTGTGAGCTTGGCCTCCGCGATCCTGATGTACAGGGTTTCCATACCGTCGAACGCTCCCAGCTCTATCCCGTTGTTAGCTAACGGGTTAGCACTCATCTCTGGTCAGAAAATATACAGGGAGGTTAGCCTTATGTATGACGCTTTGACTGTACAGCTACAGTGCCATTAATAACCCTAGATGCATTCTGCCTCCAATGACAACCTTGTATTCTTCATATTGTGCGCTACAATTGACCAGGGTCACATCTTCTCTGCCAATAGACCCAGCCAGTTGCCGCCATTGTAAATACGAATTTGTTCTCAACTGACATACCCAGAACATGCAGAGACTTCATCCCTTTAAAGGCCTCTTTTTGGATGTTGCTGATCTTGTTGTCGTGGATACGCAGCTCCAGGATGTTCCGGGGCAGGTTGGCAGGTATCCGTGTCAGCTGGTTGTAGGACAGGTACAGCAGCTGCAGCCGATCCATGTTACGGAAAGCTTTGGGATGGATCTTGGAGATCTTGTTGTTAACCAGGAACAGGGCCTGGGGAAGAGAAGATATGTGAAATATACAGAAACTCTTGGAGTTTAGACAATGGGAGGTTTGCTTGAACAATACATTGGACCCCAGGAAGTAACAGCCTATGGGGATCCAAATAAACAGATAAATACTTTTGCCCATTTATTAAATGCGGTTCGGCCAGTCTTAAAACCACTGCATTTCGACCAGTCTTAAAACCACTGCATTTCGACCAGTCTTAAAACCACTGCGTTTTCGGCCAGTCTTAAAACCAATGCATTTTGGCCAGTCTTTCCCCTAGATAGCTTAATTTCCAGGCAGGGTACAAACTGTAGCCTACATCTGTCTGTCTGTACAGGCTCTGTGAAACACCCTGTAGAAGGTTTTAAGCCGAAACCATGCCATGTTTCCCCTTATTGTAAAGGTAAGGCAGTACACCTTGCTAAGCTCTCTCGTCCCCCACCTAAAATAATATGGCTTCTATTTCAATTAAGCGTTTTGGTGCTTGAGGCCCCGGATGTTGCTTTGGGGGCCTTTGTACCCTACCTGGAAAATAATCTACCTAGTTACACAGAGCCCGTACAGACAGATGTAGGTTACAGTATGAATTACATAAAGGATCTCTATGGGCTACAGTGTATGCTGATGGAGACACTGGTTCAGATGGGTTCCGTCTGATGGAGACACTGGTTCAGATGGGTTCTGGTTCAGATGGGTTCCGTCTGATAGAGACACTGGTTCAGATGGGTTCTGTCTGATGGAGACACTGGTTCAGATGGGTTCCGTCTGATGGAGACACTGGTTCAGATGGGTTCTGGTTCAGATGGGTTCCGTCTGATAGAGACACTGGTTCAGATGGGTTCTGTCTGATGGAGACACTGGTTCAGATGGGTTCCGTCTGATGGAGACACTGGTTCAGATGGGTTCTGGTTCAGATGGGTTCCGTCTGATAGAGACACTGGTTCAGATGGGTTCCGTCTGATGGAGACACTGGTTCAGATGGGTTCCGTCTGATGGAGACACTGGTTCAGATGGGTTCTGGTTCAGATGGGTTCCGTCTGATGGAGACACTGGTTCAGATGGGTTCCGTCTGATGGAGACACTGGTTCAGATGGGTTCCGTCTGATGGAGACTGATATAAAGAGCTTGGCTCAGGGCAGGCCTTCATGTGGTTGATCGCCAGCTGTGACCGCGAGCACAATCAAAGGCCTCCGTCTGAACAACAATGTTAGCACCATGACACACAACTTCCATGAATGTGTGATTCTGTCCTAATCTGTGTTGCATATAGGCCTAGGGGGGAATGTATGTCTGAATGTGATTCGGACTGAGGTGAAAAAGTCACTCCACTCTAAAGTGATAGGAAGCAGTGATGAATGTTGCAGTGTTGGATCAGAGTAGGAGAGATGTTTATCATGTGTTTCTTACGTAGATCTTGTTAATGCCTTTGAAGTCGTCCTCCGTGACCTCGGTGATGTCGTTATTCTGGAGGTCGATCATTAGTGTGTCGGCGGGAATGTTCTCGGGCACAGAGAGCAACCCTGTGGAGACAGGATATCAACCAATCAACAAATCAGCTGTGTATTGTCCACGTAGCCGTAAAGCTAACGTCACAGAGAAGTTGCATATGTAATGAGAACAGTAGTGGTCCCAGAGTAGAGCCTTGAGGAACTCCAAAATGTCACTGAGCATGATTGCCTCCAGTCTTACAGTATCTTAACAGATGAGACTTTCATACAAGTGATTCATCAATGCTGTAATAGAATGTTAGGAGCCCCTAGCCTCCCCTCTCCCCCAGACTGAGAGCGAGGAGTAGTGAGTGGGTAATAGAACCTTACCCAGATCAGAGCACTGCACCACCCGTAGGGAGCACTGGCAGCCAAAGGGGCAGTCCGTGAGGAAGTCGTCATCATCATCATCATCATCCTCGTCCTGCATCATGATTTCATGGTCCCTCATGAAGTCCAAGACGTTAATTGGCTGGTAGGGCTTGGCATGGCCCAGTGCCAGCAGACACAGCAGCAGGAAGCCTCTCATGGTGAAGACTAGTGGGCCTATAAAACAAGATGCCATGTAATAAAGACTAGTGGGTCTACACAAAAAGAACAAGAATGAGAAGACGGATACTTTATTTTCTTGAAGAGAGTCTAAAATTAATCTTTCTGCTTGATCAGCCAATTTGCCCAAGATGGCTCACACACTAGACACAAGCTTTGAGAAATACCCAAGATGGCTCACACACTAGACACAAGCTTTGAGAAATACCCAAGATGGCTCACACACTAGACACAAGCTTTGAGAAATACCCAAGATGTCTCAAACACTAGACACGAGCTTTGAGAAGTACCCAAGATGGCTCACACACTAGACACGAGCTTAGAGAAATACCCAAGATGGCTCACACACTAGACACGAGCTTAGAGAAATACCCAAGATGTCTCACACACTAGACACGAGCTTAGAGAAATACCCAAGATGGCTCACACACTAGACACAAGCTTTGAGAAATACCCAAGATGTCTCACACACTAGACACAATCTTTGAGAAATACCCAAGATGTCTCACACACTAGACACGAGCTTTGAGAAATACCCAAGATGGCTCACACACTAGACACGAGCTTAGAGAAATACCCAAGATGTCTCACACACTAGACACGAGCTTAGAGATACCCAAAGTACCCAAGATGGCTCACAACACTAGACACGAGCTTAGAGAAATACCCAAGATGGCTCACACACTAGACACAAGCTTAGAGAAATACCCAAGATGTCTCACACACTAGACACGAGCTTAGAGAAATACCCAAGATGGCTCACACACTAGACACAATCTTTGAGAAATACCCAAGATGTCTCACACACTAGACACGAGCTTAGAGAAATACCCAAGATGGCTCACACACTAGACACAAGCTTTGAGAAATACCCAAGATGTCTCACACACTAGACACAAGCTTTGAGAAATACCCAAGATGTCTCACACACTAGACACGAGCTTTGAGAAGTACCCAAGATGGCTCACACACTAGACACAAGCTTTGAGAAATACCCAAGTGTTGTAACACATCAATGATCTAAGAATCTCTACCAGGTTTCTGACTATATAATTTTCATTGTGTTGCTGTGCTATCGTCTTTCCTTTTTGTAGGACAAAGAAATAACCTAACGTAGGTCAGGTTAAGCTATCATTCTGAGTGTGTTAGAATGACCCTGCAGCTACTGAAGTCTAAACAGACACAGAACTGATGATGTTAGTCTTGCTAGACGTTGTTGCCAAGTCTTCGCCAAAAGGATGTCCTGGCCTGCACTGTAAGGACGTTGAAACATGTTATGTTTTTTTGGATTGATTATGATTTAAACAGAAAGTTGATAAAAGCTAAGTTTGATTCTGGTAGTTTATTATTTTCTCTCTGCAACTTTGCCAAAATGTTGAACTCTATTTATTCTTGGATGGAAAGCATGTCTAGATGAGTATAAAATATGCAGTAGTCCTGTCAAGGCGCTCCCTTTAAGTTCAATCCTAACACTATGACCTTAGGTGTACTTGCTGTTTTTGTAAGGTTTTTTGGGGGAAAAACTCAGCAAGTTACTTTTTAGTCTGTAATCAAGGTTTCCATGAACTATTGTGCAGGAATTTAGACATTACAGCCGACGCAAAAGTTGTTTTGCTTCTTGCTCAATATTCACCATCTGTGGCGTTTTACACGTAAGGTTTTCCAGAACTAGCTATGTATCTATCAATTTCTCACACTTTCTCAGACTACACAAGGCCAACCGAGGGAAATGGAGCAGTACTGTGGGTGGGTTGGGTTGTGTATGACCATGATCCATTCAGCAACCCAATGCTGTTTCTACCCACAACTATTTGGTGGTGGTTCAGAGGCATTCTGTAATACTTAACAGCACAGACATGTACTATGAAACTAAATAAATCTAGCACATAATACAGTGCATTCGTAACGTATTCAGACCCCTTGACCTTTTCCACATTTTGGTACGTTACAGCCTTATTCTAAAATGGATAAAAAAATAGCATCAATCTACACACAATACCCCATAATGACAAAGTGAAAAGAGGTTTTTAGAATGTTTTCGCAAATGTATTAAATTAAAAACAGATACCTTATTTACATAAGTATTCAGACCCTTTGCTATGAGACTAGAAATTGAGCTCAGGTGCATCCTGTTTCCATTGATCATCCTTGAGATGTTTCTGCAACTTCATTGGAGTCCATCTGTGGTAAATTCAATTGATTGGACATGATTTGGAAAGGCACACACCTGTCTATATAAAAGGTCCCACAGTTGACAGTGCATGTCATAGCAAAAACCAAGCCATGAGGTCGAAGGAATTGTCTGTAGAGCTCCGAGACAGGATTGTGTCGAGGCACAGATCTGGGGAAGGGTACCAAAAAATGTCTGCAGCATTGAAGGTCCCCAAGAACACAGTGGCCTCCATCTTTCTTAAATGGAAGAAGTATGGAACCACCAAGACTCTTCCTAGAGCTGGCCGCCTGGCCAAACTGAGCAATCGGGGGAGAAGGGCCTTGTTCAGGGAGGTGACTAAGAACCCTGATGGTCACTCTGACAGAGCTCCAGAGTTCCTCTGTGGAGATGGGAGAACCTTCCAGAAGGACAACCATCTCTGCAGCACTCCACCAATCAGGCCTTTATGGTAGAGTGGCCAGACGGAAGCCACTCCTCAGTAAAAGGCACATGACAGCCCGCTTGGAGTTTGCCAAAAGGCACCTAAAGGACTCTCAGACCATGGGAAACAAGATTATCTGGACTGATGACACCAAGATTGAACTCTTTGGCCTGAATGCCAAGCGTCACGTCTGGAGGAAACCTGGCACCATCCCTACGGTGAAGCATGGTGGTGGCAGCATCATGCTGTGGGGATGTTTTTCAGTGGCAGGGACTGGGAGACTAGTCAGGATCGAGGGAAAGATGAACGGAGCAAAGTAAAGAGAGATATTTGATGGAAACCTGCTCCAGAGCGCTCAGGACCTCAGACTGGGGCGAAGGTTCACCTTCCAACAGGACAACGACCCTAAGCACACAGCCAAGACAACACAGGAGTGGCTTCAGGACAAGTCTCTGTATGTCCTTGAGTGGCAGGCCAGAGCTGGAGTTGAACCCAATCGAACATCTCTGGAAAGACCTGAAAATAGCTGTGCAGCTATTTTTTGCTTTGTCATTATGGGGTATTATGTGTAGATTAATATGGGGGAAAACCAATTTAATCAGTTTTAGAATAAGGCTGTGACGTAACGAAATGTGGAAAAAGTCTGAAATACTTTCCAAATGCACTGTATACTCAAATACTGCACTACTCTAGAATCAGAAGTACTGTGTTTTGAATACCCAGTTACTGTTTGGTTACAAATAAGCAGATTTTCAAAAATGTATCTTGCATCTTTTATGCATGCATCCATCAATTTTCATACTGATCCTAATTTTTAATAGTTTCCTCTTGTGCATGTCAACGCTGAACCATCAAGAAGCGTATTTCAAGTAAAAGGTTCACCCATTCTGAATGTTATATTGTTTTTGTGCATCTCCGAGCGATGTTCTACTATCGATTCCCTGGGTCAATTAATGTTTTCATGTGAATCGGGGCGGCAGGTAGCTTAGTGGTTAAGAGCGTTGTGCCAGTAACCGAAAGGTCGCTGGTTCTAATCCCCGAGCCGACTAGGTGAAAAATCTGTCGGTGCCCTTGAGCAAGGCACTTAACCCTAATTGCTCCTGTAAGTCGCTCTGGATAAGAGCGTCTGCTAAATTACTAAAAATGTTAAATGTAATCGGAGGTGTTGCCTTTCAAGCAGGCAGAATTTCGGCAGGTATGACGTAGCATTGCGATACAGCCGGTCTAACAACACTGGAAGTTAATAGGAGTACGACTTTTAGATCGCGAAAACCTCACTCATACATGTCAGATTTAAATACTGTCCGATACCATAATGCTTTAGGTTGTTTTCTCTCGAATGAGCCATTGATCATATTTTTGCGATATTCCTACCTCGAGAAATTTGTAATTTAACAGAGGGTCTAACTCATTTCTCCTATTGGTCTGCCTCTTCAGTCCAGGGTGCATTGCCTGGTGCCGTTGTGAATGTCAGACTCCACTCTGTGAGGCACATCGATCTGCAGGTTGAACATGGTGAGATTGTAGACTCCTAAATAGATAGTGCAGTTTGTTTATAAATAACTAGCTCCTTCACATGCTGATATTGACTTTGGTGTTGTTGTGTGTAGCTACATTTGCTACCTAGCTAGCTAGCCAGCCCAGAGAGAGAGCATTGCATTGTGGGATTTGTAGTCGACTTGAGCTGCAACAGATTTCCACAACGGTTTTCACACGTTGCTACCAACCTTATTATAACGACCAAAATGAAACATTTGTTTGCAAAAAATATTGTTCTCACATATTAGTGTTACGTAACACCAAATTACGGGAATGAGTGGTTTTGGGTGGATTTTTCCTTTAAGCCTGCAACATCAATTGAGACAATCACAATCTATTCAAACGTTTCTGAGATCAAGTTCATAAACTCAGATAATGTATCCATTTCCAAAGTTTAACAATAACATTGAGGTAGCACACCTCAGCAGGTAGCAACATACAGTAAGTCATTCTGAGGCAGGTACTTCCCCCCCCCCCCCCCCACAGTTAAATTCTATATTACTTTATTGATCCACTCAGGCTGAACAAAGTAAGCCATTATCAGATCACAGCTAATAACATCCTCCACATATCATACAGCTAATAACATCCTCCACATATCATACAGCTAATAACATCCTCCACATATCATACAGCTAATAACATCCTCCACATATCATACAGCTAATAACATCCTCTACATATCATACACCTAATAACATCCCATTGCCCCTTACAATAATGTATATTTTGTTTAACTCACCTCGGCAGTCACTTAGTGTGTTGTATCCTTGTTTAACTCCAGTCAGATAGCCTCCAGAGAGAACATGAACCAAAGAGAGTTACGATACCCACCAAGGCAGCAGTAGTCGGGAACAGTAGCTC